GCCAACATTGAGTAAATTCCGTCCACTGGGTGTGCTGGCAGCGGGCAAAACAGAAGACTGGTTGAGAATGCTCATGACATCCCATACATGGATCGTCCTGTCAGAGGAGCCAGACATGATATACTTGCCGTCTGGTGAGAAGGCAACAGAGCGCACCCAACCAGTGTGTCCTTCCAAGGGCACACCATGAGCGGCTCTGGTCTCTGTATCCCAAACACGCACAGTGTGGTCATTGGAGCCAGACACAATGTGCCTACCATCTGGTGAGAAGGCAACCGAGTTCACTGCCTTTGTATGCCCTTCCAATGGCCCACCCAGAGCAGCCCTACTCTCTGCATCCCAGATGCGGACAGTGTGGTCATGGGACCCAGACACAATGTGCCTACCATCCAGTGAGAAGGCAACACAGTAAACTACCCCATTATGCCCTTCCAATGGTTCACCCAGAGGAGCTCCACTCTCTGCATCCCACATTTGCATAGTGTGGTCATTAGAACTAGACACAATGTGTCTGCCATCTGGTGAGAAGGCTATGGAGTGCACCCCGGTCATGCATCCTTCCAGGGGCCCATGCTGAGAATCTCCGATCTCTGCATCCCACAGGCGCACAGTGTGATCATCAGAGCCAGACACAATATGTTTCCCATCAGGTGAGAAGGCAACTGAGTTCACCACATCTGTGTGCCCTTCCAGTGGCCCACCCAGAGCAGCTCTCGTCTCTGCATCCCACAAGCGGATGGTATGGTCATAGGACCCAGACACAATATGCTTCCCATCAGGGGAGAAGGCGACTGAGGTCACTTCATCGGTGTGCCCTTCCAATGGTTCTCCCAGAGCAAGTCCAGTCTGTACATCCCAGATTCGCACAGTGCTGTCATAAGAACCAGAAACAATATGTTTTCCATTGGGTGAGAAGGCAACAGAGTACACCCCACGGGTGTGCCCTTTCAATGGTTGGTCCAGAGGAGCTCCACTGTCTGCATCCCAAATTTTCATTTGCCCAATGCGGTCATTGGACCCAGATACAATATGCTTTCCGTCTGGTGAGAAGGCAACAGAGTACACTGAATGTATGTGTCCTTCCAATGGCCTACCCAGAGCAGCTCCACTCTCTGCATCCCAGATGCGGACAGTGTGGTCATGGGACCCAGACACAATATGCTTGCCATCAGGTGAGAAGCCAACAGTGAGAACCGGATCAGTGTGCCCTTTCAATGGCCCACCCAAAGGAGCTCCTGTTTTTGCATCCCAAATACGCACAGTGTGATCATAGGACCCAGACATAATATGCTTGCCATCAGGTGAGAAAACAACTGAAGTCACTCCATTAGTGTGCCCTTCCAATGGTTCCCCCAGAGCAACTCCACTCTCTGCATCCCAGATTCGCACAGTGCTGTCATAAGCTCCAGACACAATATGTTTGCCATCAGGGGAGAATGCTACTGAGTATACCTGGTTTGTATGGCCAGCCAAGATAGCTATTGTGGCTGGCCACTTTTCCCTGTACCGTTTTGTGGCTGGTAATAAAGGGATTTGGATTTGGCCAGTAGGTCCTTCCAACAGGAAATGCTGAACAGCCCCAGTCTCTGCATCCCAAACACACACAGTGTTGTCACTAGAGCCAGAAACAATATTCTTGCCATTTGGTGAGAAGGCAACAGAGAGAACCACATCAGTGTGCCCTTCCAATGGCCCACCCAGAGCAGCTCCAGTCTTGGCATCCCAAATGCGGACAGTGTGGTCATAAGACCCAGACACAATATGCTTGCCATCAGGTGAGAAGCCAACTGAGGTCACTCCACCGGTGTGCCCTTCCAATGGTTGACTCAGAGCAGCTCCAGTCTCTGCATCCCAGATTCGCACAGTGTTGTCGTATGCTCCAGACACAATATATTTGCCATCAGGGGAGAATGCTACTGAGTATACCTGGTTGGTATGGCCTGCCATCATAGCTATTGTGGCCGGCCATTTCTCCAAGCGCCCTTTGGTGACTGATAATAAACGAGGGAATTGTGGCCAAAATGCTCGACCGATTTCAGACACTGTTGGTGCCAATGCCAATGCAGACATATAAATGTGTGGAGCACTGTACACAATTATGCCACGAAAGAAGGCAATAAATCTCTGGGCATCTCTTGAAAATTGGACCAGGGATGGGTTCTGGCATACCTCAGTTCCTTTTTTGATTACAAGCACTGGCATAGAAATGCTTACCATATCAGCCCATGTAATCAATTTTGATAATGCTCTGGGTGCAGAATCTACCATCCCGAGCAAACTCAGCACCTCCAGCCAAAACAGGAATTGTTTAAAGAGGAGTTTTTTTGCACCCTCTGCACTATCAAGTTCATAGGATATTGCTGCAAGATGATCCATCCAAAATTGACATGCATATCTGAGATGATGTGGTATGTATGTGTCGAGCCGCAGTTGCAAATCAGGCATGTCATCATTTGCCAAATATGAGGTGGGAAGATGGCAGATATTGAATTTGAGTTCTTTCTGCATCAGGTTGAGGAGAGTAGAGGCCAGGAACCGTTTCTGGGCTTCAGTGCCGCAACGAACCTCCTGATGAACATGGGAAGTCATAAATTCTCTGAACGAGAGATGTATGATCTTAATTGCTTCCCCGGGAGTATCAGAGACGTGGATGACAGCACTGAGAGGAAGCAGTATCCCATGAAGCACCTCTGGATCCAGTTCAAGTAATGCCGCAAGACTTGGGGGATCCAAGGGCTCAAGAAGCTGCAACACAGTGCTCAGAATCTTCATGGCGCGACCATAGACTGCTTGTGCACGTCGGTCTCCTGGGGGAGGTGCTGGAATAGCCTCATCGACAATTCGTGCATATAGACCATGTAAATCAGTGAGGATCTCCCCACCCAGGAGGTATTCAATAGATTCCTGTGGAGACACCTGTGGTAGTCCTCCAATAACATAACGAACCACTGTGGCTGCAAATATAAAAAGCCCACTTGCACGACTTGTTAGCTCTTCAATGTGGTGGTCCTGGACCTTCCAAGGATGCCGTGTAGTCCATTTTGCACCATCAAGGGATTGCTCGATATAATGATGAATGTCAGAGCTGACTATCTTGATGTCAGTTTCATCCAAGACCACTGCATGCATTAGAGAGACCAGAGTGTCAAGTTTGAGATAGGAAGGAACCTCCGGACGCCCAGTCAGAAAGAATCGGATGTGATCAGGGATTCGAGCAATACTATCTGAAAGCCACCGAAGAAGGATTTGGCCACGGTCCTTTCCGCATTCGTCCAGAGCATCCAGACAGATAGCCCAAGGCTTCGAACTTTGTGGTAAATTTTCAAGGATTTCAACCACCATTTTTTGAAACTGCAGGTACGGTTCGGCATCGACAATGCCTGTGTGATCACTCTCCAATAGATCGATTAGGCGTGTCCGAAAGGTTGCATCATAATCTGCGAGGTGCATGGCCAGTGTAGTGGGAAGGTGCGTGATCTCCCTGCGCTCTGTGTAGTCCCGAGAGAAGAAAAAGGAAGCAGCCAGTGTGCCCTTCTCCTCTGCCAGAATAGCCGCCACACTCTTTGCAATGGTGGATTTGCCTGATCCTGCAGATCCACTGAGCATGACCACCCGCTCCGCTGAGTTGGGAGTGGCGCTCAATCGTGTGACAATATCCTTGATTATGTCTACTCGAGTGCCATCCATGCATTTGTCCGGGGTATTGGCAGAATTGTAGCGTGCTGGTACACATTTGAGCTTTGCAAGGATCTGGTTGGTAAGGACGGTATCAATTTTCCGGCCAACTGCTCGGACTGGCATGTCAATATCTGGATTCTACTTCAACATCGAGCGGTTTTCGCACCGTTGGATGCCATCGTTTCGACACATTTGGCAATTGAAATATTGCCGTAGAACTACAAATATGTTAAAACGACGGCCTGGAACAACCCAGTAAACATACGGTGAAATGGTGGATGTGGGATGCGATGGAATCCTTGATGCCCTGGATTCTTTCGTTGTAATTCTTACTTTGGACAAATCGCTTGAATCGATTTTTCTCTGCCAGAGATTTGCACTCGCGGAGAATCACTTCTAATTTCCTGAACCCCAGAAAAATAAATGAATTTGCAACACAGCACTTCACATGAACGACGCACGAAGGCAAAGTGTCGAGCCGCTGCTTTAGATCGCCACTAGTACCCGCGGTATCGATGGTTATCAATTTCTGAAGGGACTTCTCGAGCTTGGCAAGGTCCTCCTTGTTAGCCTTCATCGTCTGCCACGCACGAGTCAGCCATTTTCCCTATGGATGTGGAGTCGGATACCGATAGCATCCTCGCTAGATCCAGAACCCCACTGATTGTGCCCTCTACTCCAGGTATGCCAATGCCGGTGACACCGACTCGGGCGAGGGTAAGCGCAGGGAGAATGGTGCCGTCGAGTATCGATGCAGCTGAGGGCGACTCGGGAACCCCACTCGGTGTAGACTGAGCTGAAGCGGTAGTGGGAGCTGGAGGCGTCGTCATTGGAGTTCCCGTGGTGGGAGCAGGAAAGAAGAGACAGTGGGAAAGATGTTCTTCAAGTTCCTTTTCTCTCACAGCTGACAAAGGGCTGTCCGTTTTCGGTTATACAGTCACTTCGGTCCATCGATTGTACATAAGTTAATTACATACGTAGATGGGTATCACATTGGTAAACATCGCGAGGATCCCGCGGTCACAGACTGCGGAACCGGAGAGGAACGACGGCTTTGCATAAGCTCCCGAGGCCGGCGCTCGACTCCCCATGTCTCAACTGGACGTGAGCGTGTGCGTTTTTTGCCAGTTAATGGCGCTCCGAGTCCCAGTACAAACATTTAAGTTACAAGGTTTGTAGTAGACAGAGATAGAGGCCGTCCCGCATTATAGCTTCAACGACATTGCTCGGGATTGCTTCGCTCTCGGCCTGTTGAGCAAGGAAATTGCCATTGGACGGAACTTAGATCGTTGGATCGAGTGCTTCAAGGGAAGGGTATGAAGTCAGACGTGGTGTATGGAACATTGCCTCCCAATATTTGCCACTTCATGAGCATATGAGGCAGTCCGGGGTTCGATTCCCTGTGTCGGAATATATGATTTTCTCAATCTTTTTTCTGTCCAATGTCTCAGCATCGATCCACCCAGTCGCAAGGACATACATAATGCTTGCCTCCAACGTTCTCACTGCTGCGGATCGCTTCGCTCTTACATTAGGCGGCGGGCAACTTCTGGTCAAACAGAATTTAGATAATAAGATACAGCGGATTCAAATCAAGGGTGTTCAGTTAGTCGTGGTGTACGGAACACGAGAAATTGAAGCCTTTGCAAATAGTTTCATGAGGCAGTCCAGGGTTCAACTCCCCATGTCTGAACTGAATACTCTGTGAACCTTTTGGTTACCTAGCATGCCTCAGCGGGTCTTACCACGAGATGCGTCAAAACTGTGGTTGCATTCAGGTAGTCAGACATGGTGTATGGAACACCGCACCCTCATCTGCCAGGCTTTTAAGGCAATCCGGGGTCCACTCCCCGTGTCTGAGTACGCTTTCGTGCATTGTCTTGTCATCATTCCAGTTGCTTGTCTGTGCCTCATGGTTCCGAAACGAGAGTACGAGCAGGGTAGGACGCGCAGTTGAGTTTTAAATGAGATTTGTGGGTTCGACGTTCAGCTTCGACTGCCGCTGAACACGGCGCTAGCTCAAAGGTCAAAAGCCGAGGCGACGGAACACCCGCCCACCCCAAAAGCAACAGGAGGGGGTTCCGCATGGAAGCGTGGCCGGATAATCCTAACCGACTCACACCCGAGTCGCCCAGTGCGTAATGATGATGATGAATTGAATACTTTGTTGAGCTTTGGGGGAATCACGAAGATTAACTTAGCTAAACCAATTCCGACAGGGCGCACAATTTACCAAGATGAGCACGAGCGCACATTATGTAGGACAATAATTCCATCCCTTACTGACCTACTCCCTTCGAGTCGCCGCGTTGGTGCCGCAATGAACATGCCGAGCGAAGCCGAGCGGCGGGATCTCAAGCGCGCGCAAACAGCCGCCCATGAACCGGCACCGGCGTTCGCCATAGCCGGACCCGCCCCAATCGACCCACGACGCGTCCACCTCGGTCGCCCGCTTAAAAGAGATGCCTTCCATGGCGGTCGCTCGCCTGCCTTCCCCACTCCCAATGCTCGCTCTAGTGCGGCAAGCACTCCGGCTCGCAGCGACAGCGGGCAAGCTCCTGCTCCTCCTCAATGCCGGGTCTGTCTAGTATGTACTCCTGCTGTTACCCATAGAACTAATACGATGGCACACCACAGTCCGGGTCCTATCCTGCCTTGTCGTTGCCTTGTCGAATGGCTCGTCTGGCGCACAGGCGTCATCCTACAGCACGCCTTCTCCAGAACAAAACGGGCGGCGGCGCTGGAAAAATGGGACGAATCGCGCATGCCCGTGGGTGTGCACCTGTTCTGTGCCATGTGGACGTATCGGAATTGGGCCAGTGCGTCTTTTTCCTACACTTCATCGAGCGTGTAAGAATAGCCGCCGATGGAGAGGATATCGCAGCCCCGGACGGCTGCGACTTCCTCCTGCACCTCAGTAACTCGAGCTACCCCCAAAGCGCTCGGCCGCGCGCGGATGCGCACGACCATCCACACCTTCCCTAACTCCTCGAGGTGCGGCGGGTGGGCGCCGCTTGCCGGTGCTTTTTCGCCTCTTCATTCATCTGCCGGAGAATAATTCTGATGAAGAATATGAGTAGCCACGCACTTCCACTTCATCCACGAGATCCCCATGTGCGCGCGCTACGAGGTGCGGCCGAGCGTCGGCGCGTGGGACGACAAGTGGGTACGTACTCCCTGATGTTATCATCTTTGCACGCTATTCTACCTGTGTTGAGTCTGGCACAGATCTGGGTCGTCTCCCGACTCGTAGGCCCCGCCCCCCTAAAAATCCAGATCATCCAAATCGCGCGACGATAAATCCGAAACACCGACCCCGGCATTGGAAGTGCAAGTGAGCGACCCAACCGTGCAGGCGCTCCTGGCGCGCGCGGTGGCGCAGAAGGTAGACGGGGCGGTGTTGTATTGTGCGTCCGCTTTTTATCTTCTTCATGGTCGGTTTTTTTTTCCTGGGGGCGAGATGAGCAACCGAGGTGAAGCTCGCATCGCGGCCCTCCTCCCTCTCATGCCGACTCGAGGCCATGGTGGTTATGTTTCGTGCGGTCGTGGCCCGGGTGACGCGAGGTGGCGCTCGTGGGCGGATACACTCACCCCTCCGGGACTTTGCGCGACTCGGAGCGATTGAGCCCCTGCCTTTGCGCGACGCGGAGCAAATCAGCCGCCGCGCATCAGGTTCGTTCGTGTGCACGGGGATGCGTGCGAGCGCCATGGTGCGCGACTTGCAGCCCGGCGAAATGGCGGGCGCGTAGAGCTCGTATGGGAGAAACGAGGAGAGCTCACGGGAATTAACCCGTGCGCGCCGTAGCTTCGTGTCCGCCAGAGCTCGTTTGTGGGAGACAGGTTGCGTCGTTCGTAGCGGAATTGGCGTAAGGGGAATCCTGGCATGCCGCGAGGAATGAAGTACGTGACGGGATGGGCGAGTGGAGTGCGTGTGCGGCCCAGAGAGTGGAGGGAGGGGGGGACTTGGACTTGCCAAGTGAGCGCAACGAGGGGGTTGGGCGGCGGTATGGTGGGGATTTAGAAGGGAGTCGTGATTTAGAATGGGCGAGTACAGGACGGTATAGAATTGAATAGAATAGATTAGAAGGCATGTTCCTTTACTTTATACCTTATTGCTTGAGCGAGAGAGCTACCTTTTTGGTGGCCGGTCTCGGACAAAATACAACTTTGATTTTGCTTCATCACCCATCATTGATGGTCATTGCATTTCATCGCACTTCATAGTAAATCATAAGCAATCCTAGGGCATCACAGGAAATCCTTGCTCATCATTACATATCATAGCGAATCACAATGAGTTCCTAGGGAATCATAGTGATCGGTCATTATGAATATTCATAAGGAATCTTGAGCACTCATCATGGATCATTAACATTCGGCTGGCTGCTTATTTTTCGAATCATAGGAAATCACAGTGGACCATCATTATGAAAGCTCATTATGGCCTGCCATCCCGGGGCTTCCATGAAGCCGGAAAAGACTCATAATCCCTCCTGTTCCCGCTGTTCAATTCTGCACCCCGCTCATGGACGACCCTACCAGATTGAACAACCTCCGCTTTGCATTCCACACTTTTCACGACCGCGTCCTCTCTGCCCTGCGTCGGATGGCAGGGGATACTCCTCAATTGAATGCTATTAGAGACCAGGGCCTCTCTTTGGCCGCAGCGGCGGAGCAAGTGCGTTCTCCTGTTACTCTATCTCGATGAATTCTGATTTCCCATAGCACAGAGCAATCTTCCCTGCCGATGAGTACCACACGCTCCAAACATCCATTTCAGACATGGTCTCAGCACTCGACCTTGCCTGTCACGAGTCAATGGATCCCCCGGACGGTGGCCCCCTCATCGTTGCGCAACGTGTTCGCACTGGTAGGCGCGGGCGCCCCCGTACCGAGATCGACACCCAATTTCTTAGCGCTGCACTCGAACTCCGTGGTCCTACTGGAATCGTGCCAGAGCTCGGGGTCTCCTCCCGCACTGTTCGACGCGCAGCTCTACGCGCTGGCTTGGTGCAGCCGGGGGCACCTGTGTTCCAGGTCCGAGTCGACGATCTGGGTGCTGTTGAGCATGTCCACAGGTCCACTGGCCCTCCTGTTTCCGCTGTCTCTGACGCAGAGCTCGATCGACTGGTCTCCTCCACCCTCGAGATCTTCCCTCAGTTCGGTCGACGGATGATCCGTGGGCACTTGAAGGCCCAGGGCCATCGTGTCCCGCACGAGCGGATAACCGAGTCGTACCTCCGCGTCCATGGTGCTCCTGCAATTTTCGGTGACCGGCAAATCAGTCGCAAGAAATACCGCGTCCCAGGACCGATGTCTCTCGCGCACCTGGACGGACAGCATGGTGTGTTATTGCTCCTCGTTCAATTTCAGACTGATCAAATTGTACCCAGGTTTAATTCGCTACAAGATGGTCATCCATTGCTTCATAGACGGGTACTCGCGATTCGTGCTCGGCATTCGGGTGCATGACAACAACCGTGGTGCAAGTGTTCTGCAGTTGTTCCAAGACATCATCATGATGCACGGTTGCCCCAGCCGCTTGCGCGGTGATCACGGTGTGGAAAATATTGAAGTTGCAATCTACATAGAAGAGATTAATGGAAGTGGTCGTGGATCGTTCATCTGGGGAAGGCACGTTCTCTAGGTTTCTCTTGATAACCAACCAGCAGTATTAATGAGATGAGGCTGTTCAGAAGCGTACACAACACTAGGATAGAGCGGCTTTGGTACGACGTGGCCCACGGTTTTGGCAAGAAATGGAAGGTATTCTTTCTTGACCTTGAGGCTAATCATGGTCTCAATCCTACGCGCCCCGGCCATATATGGCTGTTACACCATCTATTCCTGGCTTCGGTCAACCGCGATGCGCAGGACTGGGCCGAGGCCTGGAATTCTCATCAGCTTACCATCAAACGGCAACGTGAACGCAGCCCGAGGGATCTCTTTACCTTTGGAATGCTGCGCGAAGGGCCGCGCGGAATTTCGTCTTTCCTCGGGCCCGAAGAGGAGGAGATAGAAGACATGAACGAGTATGGCATAGACTGGGAGGTAAATGAGGAGCCCGGACTCATTGCTCACTTACTCGAAAACAACCCCGATGAGCGTCCACCACCCAGCAATGACCCCTTTGCACCCGCTAGTACACCCGCCAACCTCTCCGAGGTCTTGTGCGACCCACCAAACTGCCCTTTCACACCAGCACAACTTCAACTGTTGGATAATCGCCTCAGTGAAATGGTCGATCTTTTTTCTCGGAACATGAATGTGCGGCGACTTGTATGGCTGGCTGCATTGGTCATTTCACGTAGTATTCAACAAGGAGAACTACGATAGATAATTACTACATTTTCTCTAAACTAATCAAGTTTCTTGGAGCTTCCCAACTACGTCGAACCTCTTCCTGCATGA